CCGGGATTGAGGCTTTGCCTGGCGGGCCGCTCCATCTATTGGTGGGGAGCAACATCTGCTGGAAACCGGGTCCAGCGCCCCTAAATACGTCTTTACAAAACAGAACATCTTGAGAGTGGCGCCATTGTGCTGGAAACCGGGTCCAGCGTCCCATATCCAATCTATTTTTCCATACCTAACCTGCAGCAGGGTCGGGTATTGGGGGGGGAAGTACCGGGGGGCACCGGTGCCAGATGTTCGGGAAGTGAACGCCCGCTAGCCCCAGCCTCGGCATGGATCGGCATACCGGTCGGCCAAGGCTTGGACTCGGTAGCTGGGCCAAGTACTGGTGGTTTAACAGAAGCATCAGAGGCCGAGAGTCCATCCACAAGCAAACCGGAATACTGGGGCCTTTACCGAGCTTCGGCTCATGCTGGAAACTGGGCCCAGCATCCCATTCAGCTACCCTGCTTTCCCGAAAACAAATTAAACCTAGACAGCAAATCTAGCCATGACGACGGGAGAGAAGGAATTGGAGTTCCTTCATTGGGAGCATTACCCAGCTTTGAATTTAGGAAAACGTATCGGAAGGAGATGGCAGGCAATACTTGAAGCAAAGGTGGACCACTCACACTACCCAACGGTAGAATACTTACTCCACGCCTTCCTGCGATACAAGCAGCCTTGATTACTCCCTTCGGGAAGGATTGACAGCCAGCATGCCTGTACCACAGAATCTGACAGACGAAAGGTTCCCTTAGAAACACTCTGAGACCCGGAGGCAGCTTAAGAACAACGAAAGGTTCTCTTAGAAAAACTCTGAGACCTGGGGGCAACTGGACCAAAATGGCTGGCCAGGCCAGTCAAATCGAAATAAGAATGCTGCACTGGTGTTCGGCAAAGTTTGGCGCACAGGGGGAATCCGCCTAGTACAAAAGAGGCTCGGATGTACTGGTGGTTTAATGGGGTCATCTTCACTCCATTGCCCCCATATGTTGATGCCTCAGTTGCTTTAACCTCTCTCTTTTCCACAGCAGACAAATACTATACTCATTAGCCTGCTCACTAATCACTAACCGCCAGCATGTAATGCAATACAACTATAGCCTCACATTTCAGGCAGCTACTGCCTGCCCTTGCTAGCAAAGAAAAAGATGACCTTCAGCAAATGCTGGGCCTTGCTAACCAGTGAACGGCTGGCCTTGCTAGGACACACACCCCCTTGGGATGACGCAGGTTAGCTATTACAGACACTGCTTGCGCACCACCCAAGGGGTAGCTCACGGTTGTTGTATGTTGGGACTGGACGATGATAGGGTATCCTGATGTTCTTGGTCTACGGGTGGTCACGCGACTGTTGGGTGGTTTGTACAGTCTGGTTTACTCGAGCCCAGCAGAGCACATCTTCAGACTACTTCACAGTGTATGTCAATACGACTCAACAGGTTAGGTCATTTGCACGATTCACACGAGGTCCTGTGTTCGATACCAGATTATGACTTAGGGCTGGTCATCCTCCCAGTACGTAGTCAAGGATTGAGGCTGGCATAGCAGTTCCTTAGTACGGGATGTTGGGGGTGTATACTGCACTTCACCGCGGGGCCGGAACGGGGTCCAGGGACATACGAGGGAACAGAGGATTGTCTAGCTCTCACAGTTTATCATACAACACAAGGTTCTCCAGGGTCGATCGATATAGTCCATGATCCAGGACTTAGGGTTGGTTGTCCTCCTAGTACGTAGCTTAAGGGTTGAGGCTGGCATAGCAGTTCCTTAGTACGGGATGCCGGGGGTGTCAGGAGATACTGCACCATACCACGGGGCCGGAACGGGCTCCAGGGATATAAGAGGGAACAGAGGATCCCCAGCTCTCTCTATCGACGATTCTCCAGGGTCCATACACATAGTCCATGATACAGTCCATGATTCACGACTTAGGGTTGGCTATCCTCCTAGTACGTAGCTTAGGGCTTGAGGCTGGCATAGCAGTTCCTTAGTACGGGATGTCGGGGGTGTTGGGAGATACTGCACCTTACTGCGGGGCCGGAACGGGCTCGAGGGATATACGATGGAACAGGGGATTCCCAGCCCTCTACCATCAACACAATAAAACACTGCAATCCACACATGACTCAGGGTTGGCTATCCTCCTAGTACGTAGCATATAGGGTTGAGGCTCGCATAGCAGTTCCTTAGAACGGGATGTTGGGGGTGTCAGGAGATACTGCACCTTACCGCGGGGCTGGAACGGGCTCCAGGGATATACGAGGGAACGGAGGATCCCCAGCTCTCTGCCATCCAAAAACGTAACACTGTGCACCCTCATGAAGACCTGTAGTAGCATGTTCATACCTAGCTCCCGAAGTCCCCGTGCAATCGGGCTTGCACGGCGTCTGCTTCAACCAGGGCTGAGCAGGGGGGTTAGGTCTCTCTGCCTAGCCCAGGTGCCTGCAACCGCTGCCTGGTCAGGTCACCCTGCCAATATGGCAATGGGTGATGGTCCCGGGTGGTTAACACTAGGGTAGGACAGGGGGGGTGGGGGTGCGCCAGGGCAAAAATGATAAGAGGAAGGGTGGGTGGGGTCTTCAGAGGGATTCAGCTGGACAACCGAGTGGCCGAGTATTGTGGATAACTGTCATTGGTCTAGCATCCTGCCTCTACAATAACCTGGGCTGAAAAAAAAAAGAAAAAAAAAAAGAAGAAGAAGAAGAAGAATCACGGAACATTACTTCTTTTTTTTTTTNAAAAAAAAAAAAAAAAAAAAAAAAAAAAAAAAAAAAAAAAAAAAAAAAAAAAAAATTACTTTTTTTTTTTTTTTTTTTTTTTTTTCAGTTACAGAACATTCCTGCATCCAGAGTTCAGACAAGAACGGCCTGGGCTTGCTTTTTTTTTTCCCTAGAAAATCAAAACGTAAAGACTTAGCAAATGTTTGCCCTTGCTAATAAAATAAAGGGGCAAGTACATCGATGTTACTTCTGAGTTTCGGATGTGCCAAAAAACATGCGCCTGCAAAGAGAGCAGTCGCCGAGTTACGGAAAAGCAACGCAAGTACTGCGTCCGGGTGTCAGAACTACAGGGTCGGCTGTGGTGTCAGACGGGAAAAGGAAAAAAAAAGGGCCCAACGGATCCTTTTCTACCGCAGTTGCCGTTTCAAACTCGCGCCGTGATATCTTTGCAGGCGCTTCTTTTTTTTGCCTTTGCGAATTCAAAACCTGCCGTGTCCGCACTCTCTTCTAATCTAAAGGATAACATTCAGGAAGTACCTGGCCATGCTAAGAAAACAGAGGATTCCTACAGCTGAAGGGAGAACCAAGATTAGCAAGACACTACCTCCGGTGAGGAGCTAGTGGGGCTGCTTAGGGTGGGCCCGGCTTAGGTGGGCCCTACTGATGCGGTGAAGGATCTGAAAAAGAATAAAACCAAAGAAAGACGAATGTTGTGATAATCGGACCTTCATATTGTGCTAGCCGATGTACGTTTCCCATTAAGATTCAGCTTTGGCATTTTTATTTTATTTTTAATTTCACGAATTCACACCTTTTATAAAAAAAAAAAAAAAGAAGAGGGGTGTATCGCACTCTGCACCAGTGCAATACAGAGGCTTGCCACGCTGGATAGGTTGAGTAACCAAGCTTGCCTGTATGACCCCTCCGTGGCCCAAAAAACAATAATTTAGTATCCTCATCGTCGAGATAATTTCACACAATTCTCATTTCTACACCTTGGCGGTTTTGCCAATTGAGTCTTGGGTCCGAGTTAACTAGGCTATGGCTTGGTAAAATTGCTTCTCTTGAGCTGCTTCTTTGCACAAGAGTTCGGATATCAACTTTTTTTTTTTTTTTTTTTAGTTACAAAATCCTTGCTTTATTATCAGGTCAAATCGAGGCCTGTGCTCTTGTGTTTGTTGAACGAGCTTGAGGCTCATAAGCGAAACTGGCTGATGCTGCCAGGATAACTGGATATCAACATATCACGCGTGCGCAGGCTGCTGGTTCCCAAAACCCTGCCTAGTACCTACCCCTGTTGTCTGTCTCGTAATTGACTTTAGACCTCCTCCTTGCAGCCCATTGGCTGGCTGCACATAAGCCGGCTGCGCGAAGCATGGTAACCTGCAGGGTATCTATCGGTTGCGGTATGCCAGCTTCCCGCCATCACCCTGCCTTTTGAAATGCCACCTCTTCCAACACCCCGACCTTCTCTGACTCCAGTCACTCGACCTATCCGTCTTCCCCCAACTGACTGTTCGGCAGGGCAGCTGCACCTTCCATACAATACACGCTATTTTAATACGACTTTTCTCCTCCTCCCTCTTTGATTCTGGTTACCATGCTATGCATCTGGTCATAGTGCCC